TCACGTCGTTTCGTGCCGATTTTGGATGCTAACAGAATCATCATATAACACGGAGGTCCTCTCCAGTCGGACCATCCGAATCAACATGATGTCCTTTCTTCATTGGATCATGCTGAATTCATGCCCTTCAAGCGCACGCGTGCAGTGTGATCAGCGGCAGCATTTTAGAAACATTTCCACAAAGAGCACACATCATAGATTTGGCCACAACTGGATCGGGTAACCTGAGATTCGTCTAATTACTAGACAGAGAAGGACCAATTACTTGCCAAGCCAAGCTATTCCTTTGAGGTGGTTGGCTTCTGTGATGTTGCGCGCGTATGTTCACAAATTGTCGTACACTCGAAAACTCATTTCAACAAAAGTAGCTTTGAGTCCGGCCCGAGTCCGGCGCAAGGGTAGTTTTTGGGAAAAGGTATTTTGGACAACCCCCATATGTAACCTGCAAAGGGCATCGCTACTAGAAGCAGGGACGCTACTAGGGGCTCCTGGCCGTACTACTAGTAACAAGTAGCTACTTGGAGCAAAGGGCATCACCACTAGGAGCAAAGGATGCTACTAGGAACACTGTAGCTACTTGTGTTTGCCCTAAGTTTTGATGAACTGTTTGTTCTCGCTCCCGCGCCAGCACTCACCCAGTCTCACCCAGGTGGTGGCAGACCCCGCTTGGACCTTCCCGAGCCTCCGGTTCTTCCTGAGCCTCCAGTTCCTTCAGCTTCTGAGGCTCGCGTTCGGCACAGCCGGTCTTAATCGAAGCTTTGCTCCAAGCGTGTCTGATCACTCTTCCTGGCAGGCACATTTACGTTGGAACCTAAATTGCAATCGATTTTGCTCAAGTCCAACCATGACATGCTAAGGTCCTGCAGTGCGCTCTCGTCAACGTGATCATTCTCGTATTCACGTCTATGTGCATGCTATGTCTTGAGCTCGCAAGACGTTGGGTGAGTGTATTGGCGCATCACTTGAGCTTCGCTTGCACAGATTGGCTCCAGCCAGTGGCCGACAAACATGTTGATGTAGAACATCGTAGGACATTAGATGCTCGTGCCCAAAGCTTCAAGTGACACTTGAAAATTACTGCAATTTTCCGCAATGACTCTCCCAAGCCAATTGCCGCAATTGCCTGAATCCCCGTGGTCTGGCGCTGAGACAGAGTCAAAAAAGTGGGCACCATCAAACGTGCTCCGCAGAGGTGGCTTCCCTGGTGCTCACTAATGGTGATGCTGGAGGCGTGTGTCTAAACATCCTGAAGGAAAGGGAAAAAGAACGAGGATTCCTTTTTTGGGAAGGAGGCCGCTCAAAGGTAAGAGCAAGTGAGTGAGTGAGTGAGTGAGTAAGTAGCTAGGTAGGTAGGTAGGTAGGTAAGTAAGTAAGTAAGTAAATAAGCAAGAAGAGTAAGTTACTTATCGTAGCTGGGACGCAGGAAGGCAGGAGGAGCTTCCTTGAACAACCCTCGTACTGTTCATTTGGTTCCAAGAATTGTTTGGGGAAACTTAACTATAGTTAGCAAGGACTAGTCACAAGAAGCTTCTTTCTTTCTTTCTTTACACCTTTCGATTTGTTCCTCTTCCTTTTCTCAGAAAAGCTGCAAATTGCTCCAAAAGCATTTTCTGTGATGCGACGCGTGGAACCTTCTCTTTCTCTAGATACATATATGTGTTCTTTCTTCCCTATCGACCATTCTCTCTTCCTTCCTTCTACTCTAGTGCAATTAGGTCTCCATATGCATTGATGTCGTTTGCGAATGTAATTTGCTTCCTGTTTATGGTAACCGAGTTTTTTTAACCGTCTGTCAGCATCAAAATGGTGTGCAGACTGGATCTCTCGGATCTTCGAACGTGCTATCGCCGTCGCCAAGCACTTTGGCACAAGTTTCGAAACCATCGCCGTGCTTCGTCCAAGTACGAACGCCTTTCCCACTGTCCCAGCTCACCCTGAAGTCACACTGCTCAAACGAACACGCTTCTTTTTGGGAGGGGAGGTAGGCCTAGAAGGTGAGCGACCAGCTAATAGAAGCTGAAGTAGTTACTAGGGCCTGGGTGCAGAAGGGTTCCTCTTCGCATTGATTTGGATTGATTGAAAGTGAACTTGCCGTGCTGTGCCGCTTGGTGCCACTCTTTGTTCGCTCTTGTCAGCCAAATTGTGCTACCCTTCGCAACCAGCCCTCGCCATGACCATGCACTTGCTTCAGTGAGCAACACTTACCAAAACCATCCTTGTCCCTGTTCGAGGCCGATTTTACCAGGGCAAGGCACCTGTGAGCAGGAGTAATACCAACATGCAAACATTCTTGGTAGAGATTTGATTTAATTGAGGAGATAACATATTGACAAGGAGGGTTGCAGGTGTCCATCAACGTGTAACAACTGGCAATAGATATGAATAGATGTGGACCTGGTGTTTGCACTTCCAACAAGATGCAAGAAGCTGCAAGATCAGACAGTCTAGCTGGCAAAATAAGACGCAAGCATGCCTGAAACTTTATATTTGTTTACCTGGATTGTGTTCTTTGTCCGCAGCTTCTTTCCAGCTTAGCATGTGCCACCAATGGAAGACATGTGAACTATGGTTGAAGACCTGTGGTCGTGAGCTCTTCTTCAGCTCCGCACCTCACCACCTCACCCACCCACACGCTAGTCGACCAAAAGTAAAGGTGTAAGAAGAGAGATCCGAGATGAAAAGAAAACAAAGCAAAGGTAAGGAAAGAAAGGAAAGAACAAAGAAAAGAAGCAAACAAAATGCAGAGAAGAAGCGAAAAAGGGAAAAGGAACAAGAGGTGTGAAAAAAGAAACCAATTGCTTCCTACAATAATGTGAAGTTCCCAATCAATCATGCGAGGGCTTCTTCAAGGAAGCTCCTCCCCGCCTAGAAAAGCCAACAAAGCCACCTCGACTCTTACTTGCTTAGCTTGCTAGCCGACTTGTTACTCCGGCTCCCCCCAAATGGTTTCGATGTCTAAAGCGGAGGAACCTGGGCAGGTCCTGGAGGTGGGACCTGGAAGAACCCGACATTTATCAACCTTCATCGACGTTACTGCGTTGCCGTTAACCTACTTGAGTATTGGTGTTTTTTCCTTAGACCATTTTTTCGGTTTTTATTGTCTTTCTTGATGGTACTCCTTGGTAAGTATGACTCCTACATCTATCAGATTACGCCTAATTACCGGTGCGCTTCAGCGGTACGTTAAGTTTTGTTATAAAGCGAAAAGGAGCGGTGTTTGTTTGGCGATGTCTTACAGTGAAGATACTATTCTCTGTTTTCTTGCACATCGTGGCGCCTTCTTTTGCTTACTGCTTAGTGCTTGTAGCTTCCTACTTAGCAATAGTTGACCTTCAATTGCCTTTCACCTTGCTGGTCGTGGCTACTAAAATTGTTTCTTTGGATGTGTTTTTCCCTCACTTGCACTTTCAAGGCTGCCGTTTTGATTGTTTGGGCCCTCGTCTACATCACTCGAAGGATGACGAAGTCGGTGTGGAGCTCACCGTTTGACCTCGCCAAAGACAGATTCAAATGCGGTGTCAACAGTAACAGATTCCTCCAAATTGTGTCGGAGAACTATGGAGAACTGATTTGCAATCCAATTTGCGAATTAGTGGAACGAGGTGCCTGCTGACAGTTTAGAGCTCTCAGCGACAAAGGAAAATCAGGATGAGGCGAGATCGTCATTCAAGTGTCCAAAAGTTCTATGTTCATGCGTTTTTTTGTTTTTGCATTTGTTATTCGGAAAGTTGCTGTGCAAATTTGGAAGACACTGCCACAGTCACCTCACCTGGTCCTGACGAATGCTTCACCCTGTGGACCACCTGCCTCATCCCGTCCCTGGACAGCAAATGAGAGGAGGAAGCAAAGCAAACGAGTAAGAAACGTGAGGTTCAGGCAAAGCAAGCCTTGAAATACTGAATTTACATTGTTTAGAGACAAATGCGAAAGAGCTTAAGCAGTGAGATCGTGAGGTTCAGACAATGTGGAGCCTGTTAGTTTTGACAGCGGCATTTGTCACGGATCTTGGCTGTGTACACGCCTCAATAGAAAAGCCTGACCAGCTTTTGTTGGCTTTGAGACATATGCTGGCACAAGGTGTTCACAAGCCAACTTATGCCGTGGGCTCAGAGTCAAAGGTAGATAAGCCATGAATATCAATCAAAATTGCGCACAGGTATGTCAAGCACTTTTGTCGAATTGTACGTCATTTCACTCTTTTTTGTGTGAATAGTGGACTGCATGTCAGGAACCTGACCGCATGGCAAGCGGCAAGTACCCTCTAGCAGAGCACTTGCACGAGAGGCTTTCATGGTGATGTGCGTTGTGAGTGTGACCGCTTTCCTGCCGAGTCCAACAAAAGTGTCAGAAGAAATAAAGGCTAAAAGGTAGACAAAAAGGAAAGAAAGATGAAAGGTCTAATAGAAGGCCTAAACAATAGTCTAAAACAAACTGTTTAAAGGTGAGTTGGCCCAAAGAAGCACTTTTGAAAGTTATGGACCTATGGAAACCTCTTTTCTCAGTGGATTTACTGCAACGCAGCGGAGTTTAGTTGAGTAAACTCAAAATTGGTAGCAATTGGAAGCATTTTATTCCAGGAAGCGCTTGTGGGAGTGGCGCTTGCAGCTGCGATTTCGTGACAGTGTGCCTTGGAAACGTGAGGTCTTCTTTTTTCAATTGTGCAATTGTTTCTATATACGTTCGCTTCTTGTTACTACTAGTAAGGCACTTGTTACTAGTAGCGATGCACTTGTTACTAGCGAACATTGCTCCTTTGTTCAGATTCGGCCGACTGTATGGGACCCCTCCGAACATCATAGTTTGCACAAGTATGTTTGAGCTATGGAGCACTAGATCTTGCACCAATGCAAAGGTGTCGCATTCAGCATGTGAATATTCAATAGTCTTAGGACAGCTGTTTGTCTATGTTTGGTGATTTTGCCATACCAGAGATGCATGTTGGGAGGGCAGTAGCAGTTGTGTATTCCCGGTTGTTCTGCATTTTCTAACAAATTGTTCATATGGGTGGTAGTTGGGGAGTTGAGAAAGCCGGTTTCTTACCAAGTTTGCATGCCTGTCCGTCAAATCGACAATGCGTTGCTTGGTGCTGTGAGTTTTGCCAGGTCAGCGCAGACAGTGTGTACTTCGGATGCGAGCAAGACCGCTACTACCATGTAGGAACAGCGTGTATCTCAGACAAGACCTGACCACGCCTGATGCTGTATCAGTGTGCAGTGGCCTGCTTGTCAAGGTTGAACGCTACATCTCGAGCTCCGTGATATCTCTTTTAAGGCCTTTTGCAACAATTTTGCTGATTTTGGTCTCAATATTCCTGACTGAGGCATGCCTCTGCAGACAACATGTTCGAGCCCTAAAGTTTGACTACCAGACCTGGCAGGACCCATTCCGCAACTGTCCAAATAGCGCGAAGTCCCCAATAGTTGAGGTTCTGAAGATAGAGAAAATAAAACAACTGGTTTTGCAAAAAGTAAACAGGTGAATGTTCAAAGGTGTTCATGTGTTCGGACAGCACCCAAGCACAATGAAAGCCTTGCGCACACGTAATGAAGCATGATATAACAAAAACCATTCGCAAATCTACTTTACGTTCAAATGATTCTGCTGTCCGAACTATTACTGTAGTAACAGTTTAACAAGGGCATCGCCACTAGGAACAAGTAGTTTACTACTACTAGTAGCTAGAAGCTACTAACTACTAGTAGCGTTAGTAGCGATGCACTTGTTCCTAGTAGCGTCTTTTGCTCCTAGTAGCGATGCCCTTTGTTCCTAGTAGCGTCCTTGCTCCTAGTAGTACACATTTCTGAGACTTGGAAGTCGTTTGTTTTGCGTCGTACATTCGTACATGTCTTGAACAATTACAATAGCAGAAATGCTCACACCACATGCCAGCAACACCCTGAACAGGGCACATACCAAGTCGATGTAAAGGGAGGAAACGGAAATTCCTGCGAAGTGTTCACATGACGAAAGATTCACTGCTGACCAGAGTTCCGCCAGATTAGATCTTGAACTTCGGGAATGGCTTTGTCTTGTCTGTGCCATCTCACAAGCGAATAGAAAGGGCTAACGCCCTAGTGCCGCCGACCCCAGTCAGTGGGCCATAAGCCAGGGAGGACAGGATGTGGGAGAGGATGGCGCACGCAACAGTAGAAGCCAGGAGAGTTTGCTTTGGAAAGAGTTTGGGGGAGGCATGGGACGCGTGTGGCACGCTTACCTCCAAAACCATGAAAACATGACTGAAAGGACCCACACGATCTGGCTACAGCTTGTTTCAGCAGGGAGTGCATCTTGTGCATCCGGGTTCAAAAGTCAAATTCAAGGTATCAGACTCATGGAGAGGATCCTGCGCTAGAACCTTAGAACAAATCGAGACTGAAAGAGACAAAAAATTCAAGAGATGTTTACAGCTGTCAAAGCAGAAATTGAAGATTGGAAGGACGCTACTAGGAGCAAAGGGCATCGCTACTAGGAACAAGGACGCTACTAAGGGCTCCTGGCATCGCTACTAGGAACAAGAAACTAATAGAAACAAGAAGTAAATAGATTGGAGCTTCCCGCACAAGGTCTGTCCACGGTGAGGCTGAACGCCCAACGATCGCCTTTCCACTGTGGGTTCGGAGCTCTAAATAGAATGTGATTCAAAGTCCAAAAGCATTTAGACAAAAACGAATCATGATGACAAAGTCCTTTGGAGGCGATGATAGTGGATTTCTGGAGTCTTCAGGTCATGGATCAGTTGATAATCACCGAAGAGGGTGAGGAAGCGCCAAAGCTAAATGTTGGAGCCCTACGCAACATGCTTCCTGCATGGTCAATTTGCATTGCACCCAGATGCTTGCAAAAGGCACTTTGCTAGTGTTTTTCTGAAAGTCTAGTAACAAGAAGCTATTAGGAACAAGTGCCTTACTAGTAGTAACAGGTGCCTTACTAGTAGTAGCAAGAAGCTATCATTTCATACAGTTCTTCCACGGAGTTTCCCATCTCTTGGAAGCGGGGCAGCCTTGAACAACCCGTAGCTGTAGGCTTGCTTGCATGGGGTAGCTTCCAAGCTTACCATAGTTGCTACTTATCCCTACCCCCGACCTCTTCGGGCCCTACCCGCTCCCCTTACCTGAACGCAGTGATGCAGAATTGAATTCTCGATTTCATGTATGTTTCATTCGTGCTCTTGATGCTTTGGAATGCTCAAATATGTGGGCGCTCTTATGTGCATATGTGTGTGTTGGTGTAAGGGGTCGTTCGTGTGTACTACCCTTTGTGAGTATTAATCGGTGTGCTCCCTTCACACCGACTGCATTCAGCCGATCCGGTGTTTCGTGCGTTCCACATCGTTCGTGCTCCCAGATATTTCACTTCCATGTTTCGCCGCCACTCAACAGATGTGATGTAAACAGACAGAATTGCTACCGCCTGTATTTTACTCATACTGTGATGGGTCGCCTCCTGGTAGAGTCTTATAGATTTGAGACGAAGATCGGAGAAACAGCTCTTTCGAGTACCCTTAGAACATTGGTACAATTTGGTGTAAGAAATGATTTCATTTCGATACCCTGATACCCAAGTGGTTTTTGCAGGGGTTGCTGATGGTTGCTGTTTCCCTTTTGTTTGGAGCAACCCTGTTTCGTCGGTTTGTTGAAGGTTTGTTATCGATTCTGACAGGTCGTTCAATGCTCAAAGATGTCTCATATCGTGTTCATTTTTCGAACTTGAACTCTTCGACTTCGGTTCGCAACGGTTTTTTTGCGCATGGATCGAAGTGGTGAAATCGGTTTGATGGGCCACAGCAAAATCCATGTGTTACCAATCTGCCTTTTTTTTCCAAAAAATGCTGTATTTCTTGCTTCCTTGCTTCCACCCATACGCAGTGGCGTTCTTGGGACATGCGAAAGGCTAAGCCGGCCCCCCTGTGTGCGTTCAAAGTAAGAGGTTACACATGTCAGGGCAGAGATGGTAAATTCGGTAAATGGGTAAAATCTTTAAATTCGATGCATTGCTGCACATCGGAAATTTGGTAAAGTCAGTAAATCGGTTAATTGGTAAATGTTGTAAATTTATATACGGTGTTTACCCTTTTACCGCGCGCTGTGGTGTCCTAGGGTGCATCAAAAACAGCAAAGGCAGAAAACAGCCAGCAAACACAACAGAGCAGCATGTGCGTGTACATTTCGTAGGTAATCAAGCCTGTGTGCAAAACGCTACAAACAAGGAAACGGTGCGCACGTGGATTTGCAAAGGAAAAGACTAATAGAGCACCAAATGCATCCGTGCATCACTCAATCCGTGTGTGTTCAGCTTTGCTCGACTCGGATTCAGGGCAAGCGCCTGGTCAAGCCTACAACTTGACGAAGTCTGTTCACCTCCTCGAAGAGAAGATGCAGATTTTTAGATCTGAACCAAAGACAGATAAACTCTTGCTTTGAACAGATTTGCCGTTTACTGTTTTACTCCTCGCTTTACCCCGCGCTTGTATGTGCTCGACATTGTACCGTTTTAACGCAGGCCTTTGCAACGGAAACTCCATAACCAAAAGACACACCGCGAGCCAGCACAGCTGGCACCTGCACATTGTGCAAAAAAACTAAAGCATCAAAACTGACATTGTTAGTTATTTGGCTGACGCTCAAATTGAACATCGTCATCGAACTTTGGTAGGGTCAAAAATTAAACCAAACTTCTATCACGAAGCAAAATGATTTGCGTAACCACAACAGCGAACGTCAGCTGATGCGTGAATTTGAAGCAGCGTCGTAAAATCAAAGCAAATAGCATAGAAAAGCAACCTTCCCAAAACTCTACAACATGTTTTTCCCGATGCGAAAGGGAATTTTGACTCGCCGCTCTCTTCACTGGCCTGCAGGCAGGACAAAAGTGCTGCAAATATGCAACAAAATCACCAAACTGTAGGCGGTTTGCGGGCTATGGTCCAAGTACTTAAGTACTTACAAGAGAGTGCTTCTTCCCCCTCAGAATTGTTTCCTGATTCCTTCTGATCTCCAACCTCCCATGTTCAATCCTTACTTCCGTTCCCCGTCCTACCCCGAGGCTTTTGAAAGAATTCTTTGGAAAAGGCTACTTTGCTTGTCCTCTCGACCTCCAGGATCCAGACTTTTCAACCTACGGAATAATCCGTGCGCAGAACAGAAAGGGCATGCAGGAGGCCATTCCAACTTCAACGTGTGCTATTCCTTTGTGTGTTGTTGCTTTCCTCTTTGCATGTTTGTGTGGCCTATTTTCAGGCCTTGAATGGCCTCGAGTTCAAGCCAGGGCGCACATTCACATTCGGCCGCTTGTCGGGAATCGATGGGAGCCGAGTTGGGAGCCCGAGTCGGGAACCCGAATGAAAACAAGATGTTTGCCTCAATACCAGAGGTCGTTGAATCCCAAAACTAAGCTCTCAGGACTTAAAAGCAAGGCCTTTTACGGGTGCCAATTTCTTGTCTCTGTTTGTTCCATGGTATGCGCGTTGATACAGATTTATCCTGGGATATGTGTACTGGTGGAGTCAGTTGCTCCACAGTCATGCATCCAGGGCTACAGAAACAGTGTACTTGCGCACCGATCAAGGCTTTTGGTGTATTGCACAATTTGTGGATGCCATTGGTTGGAGAGTGCCAGTCACTCAGATCCACTCAGTGCCAGTCACTCCATACATTCACTCCATGGCGTTCCCGTCAGGCCAGCGAGGGGCGTAATTCCTGAAGTCAAGCTCAATGAAATTGGTACTCACCCGTCGAACACCGAGAGAACAGCATCAAGTCGACGTCAGAGCTATACAGTTTGTGTGCAGTATATCAAGGTATATGTTCAGACATGTTTTTTTAAGATGTAGTATACATGTTTTGGTATGTGTGGCCTTTTGAAAAAAATATTAAAGACCTATCGAAGACTTTCTATTGTCGAAGCCTCCTTGCACTGCACATCACGTGTTCAGTGCTGTGGTATGTGTTCGTTTTCTTTCTTTCCTCGTGCTGTTGTTCTTTCAACCTTTGGACCTTTCTTTCTTGTCCTTTTCAAGATCTTTGTCTTGGTCTTTTTTATTATGTTGCTTTCTACCTACATGTTGTTCTTCATGTCACTTCTTTCTGTTTCTTTTCTGTGCGATGCTTTTGCAAAACACCGCAACGAGGCCAATCTACGTGACAATGTATTTACTCCGTCCACAGGATCAATGGACAGATGCCTCTTGGCAGGATTATGATTATGGAGATAGTATAGGTTGTGCCATGCAAGTGCTGAACGCTTGAAACGTTGCAAAAACATAGAAAGGAAAACAAGGAAAGGACAGAAGGATACAGAAGGTAAAAGATTTTGTTTTCTCTTTCTTCTTGTGCCCCAACAGATGTCCTGAAACTGCAACCTTGCGTCGATGGTGACATCAGGTGCAGGGGCGTCGTGACACTCGACACTTGGACTCCAGGCAGGAAATTCGAGACGAAAAGATACTCGTCGAAAGGAAAAGAAAGAAAGAAAAGCACAAGAAAACAAAGAATTCTCGTCCAAAAGTCAGCAGCTAGGTATTGCGTTCCACGTTCAGCCTTTTTTGTGAAGAGTGTGTGTATCTTTTCATTTTGACACACCAACCTCAAGGTCTGGTCTGGAGTCAGAAGTGCATTTGTTGTCAATCAATTTTCAGAAGTAGATTTGTACATAAGATTTTCTTGTTTCCTCGTGTCTTTTTCTTTACAGGAAGATTTACATTTGGCGTGTCTCACTTTGGAGCTCTGCTCTGCCACCACCGTTGGAGCGCCAAAAGGACTGACGTTGACAGACTCAGTTCACAAATGAAAGAAACAATAAAGAGACGACCAAAGGACTTCGTCTCTTTGGTTGGTTTTGAAGTCAAGAGACGAAAGGTCTTTGCTGTTTGTCTTTCGGAAAAGGTCACCTTGTTGTCTCGTTGTCCAGCGGTGATCAAAGTTCCTCCGACATCTCTTCCTAGATTCAGTTCTCACAGAGCAGATCGAGGTGGACAAGATGGATGAGAGGGGCGTCGTGTTCCAAAAAAGGGCTTCCTTTAGTGCAGGTCCTTTTTCTGATCAGTTGGGCGCGACCAGTGGCACATCTGTTCCAGGGATGCCTGTTGCCTGGGTTGGGTGACAATGGAGGCTGTACCCGTGCTGGGCACAGTACCGGCTTCCACAAGGTTCCTGGAAGATTACTTCTGCTTGCGCGGTGCTTATCCTCTTTGTGCTTACCTTGCCCTTTGTAGAAGGGAAAGCATCCTTGGGCGAAAGGGAAAGCCAGCCACACTGTCGTTGCAAGTGGAGTCTAATGGCTGTGAAGTTTTGAAAGCGAAGATGTTGTCGGAAGCTTCAAGTGACAGAGCGACTACACGGCGACTAAGTAATACCATGTCACCAGGGTGTCAGGAAAACTGAAGGAGGAAGGCCATGGAAGAGTCGCCAGGGAAATGTTGTCAGACTTTGCAAGACTTGTTTGATTGTTTTATGTGTATGTTTGTTGTTTTCTTTCCCCAGTTCTTTCTTCCTTGGTAAAGACTTTTAAATGTTTTTGATTTGAGAGGAGCTCCAAGGCGCTGCTTTTCATCGGCGACGTATGCTGTCTGCAGATGGCACGGGGACCTGGGAAAGCAAGGCGAAACGTGATGGAACCAATTGCCGCTTTATCTCAGAGGTGGTGAGATGCAGGTGCTTGGGCACGTTCACTGTCCCAAGCTGGATGTCATAGCTGTTGAGATCCCCCTTCCCACGACGAGCACAAAGTGCTGCAATGTGATTTGCTCAAGGAGTCTCAAGCATAGAAGCAAATGCCCCTAGTAGCGATGCCAGGAGCCCCTAGGAGCGTCCTTGCTCCTAGTAGCAGCTTGAGCGGTGTGGCCACACGAACACCACGAACTCCAACAGTCACAACCACCCGCAGCTAATTGTCGACGCTTTCATGTTTAAGGCGACTGGCGACTGAAGCTACTAGGAGCAAGGACGCTACTAGGGGAGAAACAAGCATTAGAATGCTGAAACTTAGTGAGTCCAACGGCGTACCAGTTGGAGGCAGACAATGGGGGAGTTGGTTGCATGCGCCAGCCCCGGCAAAAGGACGACTGCGTTTGCCTAAAGGGTAACATTTTTGAATGGTTCTGAATGGCCATTGAATAGTGTGTACAGTGGTCGGTTCCTTCAGAGTTTTGCAGTGTTCCAGCCGTCTCTCCGTTCTCTTTGTTCAAGTCCTGCACATCCATCGTGCCAAACCGAGCGAAGGTGCCACTGTTCCAAGCGATAGCGAAGACAAAAAGGCACCCTTCAGGAAGGAGAGAATCTAGACAATGTCTACAATGGTTCAAACATGTTTTCAAGACTTTACAAGGGCATTTCGACGTGATAGGTTCGAGTGAATGGATATCACTACAAAACGTTCCCCTACACCCCCTACCCCACTTCGCGATAAAGCAATTTGACACCCAGCTTCAGTTGTTCAGTTGGTGTTGATCTTGTAGGAGCTGCGAGCTACCCTTTGATCCAAGATGCTAGTTTCTTGCTAGTTTGATTCCAAATTGTGTTCCTACAGGCTTTTGCCGTCAACACTGCATGCTATAAAAGGCCATTAAGCACATAGACCACAATGAAGCAGTGTGTATGTCAATGTACATGCATGTATGCCCAACATACATCCGTTTTATGACAAGGAAGAAATGGTGTTCTTCCATGGACATCCAGGATGTTGTTGTTTCTCATAGTCGTTCCTCGCCACTCAAGTCACTTGGTGGACTAGACCAGGCGTTTTGGTGGTCTTTTCGTGTTTGCTTTCGTACTTGGGCATGTTTGAGTTGCTACTTGCTGAACTTTGACCATGTGAGCGTGTGTTGGCGGGTGTGAATCCTGTTCCCAAGGACCTCGCTTGTTCAAACGCCACAATTTTCCACTCACTTCCGAGCATTGGTCTCAAGATGTCTCAAGTGTGTCAACTTCGAGGAAAGCCCCTCCCTTCGCTCCACCCGCTTCTGGGATTAACCTTGGTTGGTCCGGGAGATTTACTAACTTCTTCGTCTAATGCAGCAACTATAAAAGGCTACGGAGTTCTCAGCAATTTACTGCAGCATGCTCCTTCCGATCTCCAATCTTTAACTTGTGAATGACCTGCTCTTATTTTCCGCTTTCTGGGGCTCTTTTGCATCTCATCACATATTTTAACCTAATAGCAAAAGGAACCTAATAGCAATGGCCTCCCCCTAGTAGCACCGGTTTTGGGAATGTGATGTTAGACGGAGTTTCATTTCGATATATCGTTGATTTCTCGGCCCCGACTGATCCGGCCGACCATGTCGACGCTAGTCATGTAAGAACAGTGGCAAACACTTGTACTGTGAATTTATTTAAGCTGCCTCGAGGTGAAGCAAAGTCAAATCCTTTGTGCGCCTTCCCTTCCTTTCCATGTCCTTGGTGAGGCTGGCCAAAAATTGGGAATTGTTTGAAGAATTGCAGAAGTACATAGAAGTACTACTAAGAGCTCCTGGCATCGCTACTAGGAGCAAGGATGCTACTAGGGCTCCAAGGACTCTACTAGTAACAAGAAGCTACTAGTTCTTGTGACAAGGTGGTTTGAAGCGTGCCAACATGACAGTGACAGGCACAATTCGTTTTGCAACGCCAACGCGGTTGTTCAGAGCCGAAGTGCTCAATGTTTCCCTGGACCCAGACAGTGACATTGGCTCCTGCATATTTTCAGCTAGGGTCCACATTGCATATCACGAGTGTCCCATTTGTTTGTAGCTCTCAAGAACGATCATTTCAGAAAGCCCCAAGGACACCTCAGGATTTTTCCTTTCACAAGCTGTCGAGAAGATGTTTGGAGTGCGATGCGCGTAGGGGATCCAGCGTCTTTTGCCGAGTTCGTCAACAAGACCGAGTTCGAACAGGGTGAACTCACGCAGCCGGAAACTGGACCTCAAAGGGAAATCTGCTCTAGGCCGTACCTAGGAGCAGCAACTACGGGCTCTTGGCCTTACTACCAGGAGGGGTCCTGGCATCGCTGGGAGCAAGGACGCTATTAGGTTGGAGGCCATCTCTAATAGGTCGTACCTGGCAGCTTCGTCTTGGATTTATTGGATCGAACCTTCGAACTCGATCGAACACGAACGCAGAGACCTTCGAGAGCTCAGAGAGCTTGAGCTTTTGCAGCTTGCGGTTTTGGCCCGGCTTGCAGAGCGAACGCAGAGCAGAAAGGAAGGATAAAGTAATATGCAAGAAAATGAAATGGAAAATTAATTGGAATAATAAGTCTAAAAAGCAAGTAGAGCTCAAAGTCTTGCGCCGCTCAGCGGTTTACGACAGCTCTGTGCGTTTTTCGTGCCCTGCACGGGAATGCATCACAGATCTCAGTTTGGCGCTCCTCAGTGGTGTGCTCTGAAACAGTGTGCTTTTCCTGGAGCGCGATAAGATGTCACTTTCTTGAACAGTAACATTCATGATTCTTTGTTTTCAGGAATGATGTTGAAAACGAAACTGGGTCAAATTGTCCCATTCGTTCCCTCAGTGAACTTGAGTATGTCCTTTCATTGTTGAAAAAGGAATGACAAACCATGCGATTGCTAGACTTCTTTTTGAAAGAACAAACTAGTTTCTAGTTCATGCCATACAATTTTTGGGATCACACCTTTATCTTTGAAAGGACACATAAATCCATTTGCATACCGAAAGGTACGCAGTTTGATGCACATTCGAAGAGTTGAGGCCTTTTTTTTGTTAAAAGATTGTTGGAAAAGGAAATTGACAGCAAATTGCAACTCTTCCGGTTTCCACGTTTTATGTTGCTACAATTGTGTTTTTGCAAAACTCGGGGAGGTTGATGAATATTCTACGAAGGAATTGGCCGACTTCTTGGTCGATCAGGAGGACAGTCCGCTTGTCGAAAATGCTCAAATCGCCAAGTCTAGTGAAGATTCCCCAACTAGTTTGTCATATCAAAAGGAAGGGGGGGAAAGAAGAACTTCAGAAAGGCTGAGAGTTTCTAAGAACATTTTACATCGAAGGTGAAGTCCCTAGGGAGTTGCACCACATCGGGGCCGGCACTAGTTTGCAACTGTTGCACGCGCGTTCACTTGATGGGACATGGACAAGCTAAACGCTACTTTATTACCTGTGTCTTCTGTATCTTGTCAGTTCTTGTTTGTACACAGGATGATCGAGCATCATTCCGGCAGCATCCCCAAGTATCTAAGTTGTCTTCTTGCAAAATCGAGTTCGCCTACAGCCTCATGTCGAATGTCGCAGTTCGCAATTTGCATCTTCTAGCTTCTTGCTCCTAGTAGTACGGCCAGGAGCCCTTAGTAGCGTCCTTGCTCCTAGTAGCGATGCCAGGAGCCCCTAGTAGCTTCTTGTTCCTAGTAGTACGGCCAGGGGCCCTAGTAGCTTGCTCCCAGGAGCCCCTAGTTACGGCCAGGAGCCCCTAGTAGCGTCCTTGCTCCTAGTAGCGATGCCAGGGGCCCCTAGTAGCTTCTTGCTCCTAGTAGTCTAGTAGCGATGCCAGGAGCCCCTAGTAGCGTCCTTGCTCCTAGTAGTACGGCCAGGGGCCCTAGTAGCTTGCTCCCAGGAGCCCCTAGTTACGGCCAGGAGCCCCTAGTAGCGTCCTTGCTCCTAGTAGCGATGCCAGGGGCCCCTAGTAGCTTCTTGCTCCTAGTAGTACGGCCAGGAGCTCCTAGTAGCGATGCCAGGAGCCCCTAGTAGCGTCCTTGCTCCTAGTAGTACGGCCAGGATCTCCTAGTAGCGATGCCAGTAGCGTCCTTGCTCCCAGAAGCGATGCCAGGAG